TGAAATTAGAGAAAACTTTGGGGATTTAATCATAAAATTTCCTCTCGATGGCAGGTACCATATTTTGAAAGGAGAGGCAGAATTGACAAGGGTAACCGCCTTTATCAAATATGTCCTGAAATTTATTCGTGATGAAGGTCATAGGTTCCTTCTGGAGTTTCAACATTTGAAGGGAAGGGAAGAAATGAACCACAATCGACCTAAGTGGCTAGAAGAGATCCTAGTCAACTACGAAGAAGTTTTTCAAAAATCACGGGGATTACCGTCGTTTAGGAGACAGGATCACATCATTGTACTCAAGGAAGGAGCCAATATTCCAAATATCAGGCCTTATAGGTACCCACACTACTGAGAAAATAAGATTGAAAGGTTAGTGGATGATATACTTAAGTCTGGAGTCATTAGGTCAAGTGTAAGTCCTTATTCAAGCCCAATAATCTTAGTCAAAAAGAAAGACAGGGGTTGGCGATTTTGTGTTGATTATAGAGCTTTGAATAAAATTATTGTGTCTGATAAGTTTCTCATTCTTGTTATTGATGAGTTACTTCATGAATCGGGGGAGCCACAAATTTTTCGAAATTGGATTTGAGATCAGGGTACCATTAAATAAGACTGAAGGAGGAAGACATTCCTAAGACTGCCTTTAGAACCCATAAAGGACATTATGAGTTTGTTGTGATGCCACTCAGACTCGCCAATGCCCTCTATACTTTTCAAGCCCTTATGAATGAAATGCTTAGACCATACTTAAGAAAAATTGTATTGGTTTTCTTTGATGACATATTGGTCTACAACAAGAATGTATAGGAACATCAGAAGCCCTTACAGGTAATTTTAGCATTATTACAAGAGCACCAATTATTTGCTAATTTGAAAAAATGAAATTTGGGCAATCTCAATTAAAGTATCTTGGTCATATTATATTTGGAGAAGCAGTAGCTACAGACCCTAAAAAAATTGTAGTTATGATGGAGTGGCCTATTCCTAAGGATCTTAAAGCTTTAAGAGGTTTTTCGGGACTGACCAGATATTATAGAAGGTTCGTGCAGAATTATTGTAAAATAGCCCGACCACTAACTCAACTATTGAAGAAATACAGTTTCCGCTGGAATCAAGATACACAAACGCCTTTTGAACAACTAAAACAGGCAATGGTTGAATTGCCTATTTTAACTCCCTGATTTTTCTAAAGTTTTTACCATAGAAACTGATGCTTCCAACCGAGGACTTGGTGTTGTTTTATTATAAGATAGCCGATCAGTGGCTTTCCACAGTCAAACTTTGTTAGAAATGGCACAATCCTAGTCAATTTATGAGAGGGAATTAATGGAAATTGTCATAGCTGTGCAAAAATAGAGACATTATTTATTAGGGAGGCATTTCGTCATCCTTCTTGATAAAAAAAAGTCTTGAATTTTGATCTGACCTGATCAGGAGGAATCACGGACTGGCCACACACCGTTGGGCTATTATCTGTTCGCCGGGGTGAGAACGAGGAGGGGGGTGTACCTGCAAAGCACTCCGACGCCCAAGTAAGAAGTTGGACAGAGAGGAAGCAATAGTACAGAAAAGGGGGCAAGAAGAGTTACCTGACCCTCTTGAAGAAGAGGGTATTTATAGAGAGACCCCAGCGCTGGGCCAACGGTCATTCGAGGTGGGCCAGACGACCAGGCCCAACCCTAATGACTGCTAGGGCTTACGTGGCGTAGTGAAGACCAGGACGTGGTCTTCGCCCTAGTTCAACCGCTCCTAGGTCTCCGGAAAGTGGGTTTGACCTGCTCTTTCGGAGGTGGGCGGTTGGCCGATGACGTGTCCCCGCGGAGGGGAGCACGTGGAGAACGTGCGCCGAGCACGTTATTCCCCCGCGGAGGGAGCCCGGGGTGGTCTTGCTCGTCTGGCGTGATGGACGCCCAAAAAGGGACATGGAGCGGTAGCTTGAGCCCGTCCGTCCAGCCCTGCTCGTCCGAAGGCGCGTGCCGGGGGTGCCCAGTTCGCTTGCTGGGCCGCCTTTGGTATTGGGCCTGCCGAGGTGAGGCCCATACCGGAACAAATTTCTTTCTAATCAGCGAGTTTTGGAAGATGAACAATTTAAGTGAACCTCAAAATTGATGGGACTGGATTTTTCAATTCAATACAAACTGGGAAATGAAAATAGAGTGGTTGATGCTTTACTCCGGTGAATGACTTATGCAACTCTTTCCACGGTACACTTTGATGAGCTGGAAGAATGGGAGGCCGAAATCCAAAAAGATCTGAAGTTAGTAGGCATCATTCAATATTTGTTTATGGATGCTAACTCTTATCCAGGATATATTTTCAAGGATCAAAAGTTGTTTTATAAAGGGAGGTTGGTGTTACCTAAAGATTCCTCTAGGATTTTACAGTTGTTACATGAGTTCCATAATTCCTCTAGGGCCATTCTGGTTTCTTTAGAACCTGCAAACGCATTTCAACCATTCTTTATTGGGAGGGGATGAGAAAGAATATTCAGAAATTTGTAGCCACTTGTGAGGTTTGTCAATCGAATAAATAGAAAACTTTGTCTCCTCTAGGGCTGTTGCAGCCTTTACCACCATGTTTCCCTTGAAAATCAGAAAACAACCGTTGATCTTCCAAATCTAACTTTGGTGACTCACAGGATCGATCAGATTGATCCTAGGACATGTGCTAAAAGAATTATTTTTGGTTTTAAGAATTTATTCAAGTTCCACACTCGAACAATATTGGGATAAAAGAATCCTAAAAGAACATCTATTCGACTACGGGTTAATTTTAAAGGTAAAGTAAGACTTCTAATAAGAGAGAAGAAAGTTTGTTGGTAAAGGTGAATTTAGATTGAGGACGAAGAGAAAAGAATTGCATAGGAAGAAGAGAAATAAGGTAAGGAGGAAAAGGGGTAAAGACAATAAAGGCAATAAAAGACTTTGTAAAACTTAAAGTAAAAACAAGTAAATTGCATTAAGTTAAAAGATGGTGTGTTTACATCACGTACATTCTCTTACAATACTCGCTTTCTCTACACTTGGATACTTGGAGTAGTTTCAAGAGTAATTTGTACAATAGTAAATTACAACACACTTTGGATATGTCTAAGACACTCTATTTATAGTAACAAAAAATAACCTCTCATAACTTCCACCATAATCTCCTTCCGCCACTTGTCTCAAATGCATGGATCCATTATTCATAAGGTGACACGTGTCTCCCTCAATTTTCCACAAGTAAAACCGTTCCCTCCAACATTCAAATTTCAAATATTTCGACACACCATTCGTATCAGCAGGCGATCGAACCCTTGGCATCTGGGTGAGTTCTTCGACTTAGCTTTTTTCTTCTTTCGACCATTTTCTTGCATTCAAGCTATTCCCCACCCTTTTGTCTTAGATGCCTTCTTTATAGCTGAGGTGTCAAATTTAGGAGCTAACACACCAAAGAGCAAAATACACCTTGTTTTTCATGTCTCCTTGTTGAAGAAGGATTTAGCTCCAGCAACTCAATCTCAACCAGTTCCATCTATGCTCTCCGAGAATCTAGAATTCCAAGTATTCCCTGCGGAAGTTAAGGCTATCCGCAACACAACACAAGGTTCAGCTGAAGTCCTCATTCAATGGCAAGATCTTCCAGATTTTGAAGCTACTTGAAAATCAATTGATTTAATCAAAGAACAATTCCGTTCCTTTCATCTTGAGGACAAGGTGACTCTTTTGAGGGAGTATTGTTAAATCTCTTATATGAAATATGTATAAGAGGAAAGGGCATAATTTATTATATTAGTTAGTGAAATTACTCATAATTATGGGACAGTTACATTATAGGAGTTAAAAGGATGTTATATCATAGTTATGGGGAAGTAATTAATTAGTGTGTCTATTCAGTTTTGGGTAGTGAAAAAATATATAAGGAGAATCCACTGCAGGGAGGGGCATCTCAGAAATTCATAGTAGAATTTGGTAAGGAAGAGTTTCAAGGCTCTCGAAATCCTTGATAGAACTGTGTTCTCATACTTCTTCCATTGCTCTCGAAAACTTTAATAAAACTGTGTTCTCATACTTCTTCTATTTTCTCAATAGTTTTATTTTCTTAATCAGTCTGAACATAAATCTCTATAATTCAATAAAAACATTGGTTATTCCATTATCAATTTATTTTAATACCGGTTCTATCATAGTGCTAAAAAAAATTGTTAAAATAGAGTAACATAAAGTCCCTCCCTTCTCATGCCAACTCAATAAATTAATAAGTTTGTGCCAGAATATTGATTTCCTAAAGATTTTCCAAGCTAAGAATATAAGCTAATTTTGATTGAGAAAAATTATTTCAAATCTTTATTTATTCTCAGTTTAACTTTTTTTTAAGGGAGAGAGCAGGGATTGGCCAAATTTTGACTCCTCCAAAATGGGAGAATTTAGACCGAAGATAGAATATACGTATACAATAAGTATTAATATTTTTTTTTAATTATTGATTTATAATTATCAATAACTTATTTAGATAAATATATTATGTTAAAAATACAAAGAACAGATTCATATCGATACATTATCAAAAAATATAAGGAAATATTGTCACAAGTTAAATTATGGTTAACAGCTCACACTCATATTTAATAAATTTTTATCAGATACATAAATATTTTAAAAATGCAATTGAAAAATGTAAAATTATATTTAAAAAATTTAAATTTGATGATAATAATACTCTTAGGATTATCAGTAAACTACAAACTAATTAGCCAACTTACTAGCAATATTAAACTACCCAAGCAAATCAATCTTAGCTTACTTGTCCATTTAAAAATCAACTTCATTACAGAAAAAATTCTTCATATTTAACTTTGTAATAACAATTAATGATACAGATATATCAAATCACAATAATAAAGCTACTCTCATAAGTTGTTTGACCTAATTTTAGGTTTCACATTGCCTTCTAACAAACACTCTTTCCATACAAAAATTCTAACACATAAAAAAGAATGTGATATTGAAAGAATTACAAATCTACCCCCAGTCAACAAAGGGGGTGTATGGGTATCCACCTTCAGACGGAGGTTGCAACGACGGAGGCAAATTGCCGAACGACACTCCTACATTCCCTGACGGCGTGTTTCCGATTGGTTGCTGTCGCTGTGTATTGGGATGAAAATATTTGCAAGAATCGCCGTAGCGACAAAATCCCTAATTATAGAGAAAGAGTAAATCAAATCACAAAATTGATTGAGAGTTAATCATGATTGATTGATGATAAATACCTTGTTGACGAAGTGAAAGCAGAAGGGTTGATTAGGTTGCTGTGGAATAGGGTTGTGGTGTTGAGGTTTGAAGGAATCGTACCAACGTGCTTTGGCTTGTTTGTGTTGAATGCCTGCGGCGTGGCGTTTCCGATCCGACGGTGTATCTTGAAATTGCTTCTCGCAATATTCGCAGAAATACTTCTTTATCGCCATTTTCCCTTCTCTACACCACGCCTCAACTCTTCAAAAACCAAGTTTTTTTTTTCATGTTAATTGTATATTTCAATCCATAATAATAATAATAATAATAATAATAATAATAATAATAATAATAATATAAACGGTTGTTGTTGTGGGGTAATTAAAAAGTCGGGGTGTTACAATTAGGGCTGGCAATGAACTAAACCAACTCGAAGATAGTTCATGAACTAAATGAGTTGAGTATGAGCGAAAAATTAAGTTCGTTAACTAATTGAGCTAAACTTGAACTATACATAGTTCGACTCGTTAGGTTCATGAGTCAACTCGATTACATATGAAAAGAATTATACTGTCTTTAAAATTAGGTTTAAATATTTACTTCAAATCTTAGACAAATTTAATCTTCAATTTAGTAGTTTTTGAATTAGACTCTCAAATGTATCTCTTGAAAGTTGTGTAGATTTTGAATTAGTAGATTTCGAAGATAAAGTTAAATTTCAATATGATAACTTTTATTTTATTTTAATATTTTATTTAAAAAATATATATTTATTTAAAATGTCAAATATACTGAAATATATATATATATATATATATATATATATATATATATATATATATATATATATATATATATATATATATATATATATATATATATATATATATATATATATATATATATATATATATATATATATATATATATATATATATATTTAAAAAAATAGTTTTTAAGTTCGTAAACAATGTTAGCTGAACCTAATGAGATGAACCTAACGAGTCGAACCGAACTGTTCGTGAACTTATAATGAGTCGAGTTTGAGCTTAAAAAAAAGTTTGTGTCGAAATCGAACTCGAATTCGAACAATTCTTAACAAGTCGAGCCGAGCTGAGGTGAGTTCGACTCGACTCGACTCATTTTCAGCCCTAGTTACAATAAAACCAATCAAATAGAAAATCGTAAATCAAACCAAATCAAATCGAAATTATAAAAAACTACAACAAAACTTTGCAAATCTGTTTGATTTGCAATTTGTATTTTGCAAATTAAATTAAACCAAACTAAATTGTATTATATTATCACTCAAATTTCACTTATCTTAAATTTAATTCAAAACTAAAATTTATTATGCATTAACTTTATAAATATGAACTACTTTCTTTTACTCATGTTTATGATTTCAGTTTCAATCTTCTCGATTATTTTCTAATAATATCTTTTCATCTTCTTTGTCATATATGTCTCATATCTTCTATTCTAATCTCTTCTCTTTTATGTTTTTTCTTTTTCACTTGATAATTTTTATGCACCTCCAACTTCATAATCTCTTCTCTTTTATGTTTTTTCTTTTTCACTTGATAATTTTTATGCACCTCCAACTTCATTTCAGCAAAGTTTTTGAATTCTTCTATTGACACCACAATGTAACCAAAAAATTTTAGTTTTTGAATCTTTTATAAATCATTGATTGATTCACCACCTTCCTTCATCTGGATGGTGAGTAACACTAATTTTGGGAGGAAATCAACATATTCATCTTCTGTCATTTGTTTTATCTCAAACTACTTTTTTAGTGTCTGCAACTTCACCCTCTTCAGTTTCTCATCTCCAGCATACAAATTCTTCAACTTGTCCCACGTCTCAGACATATCTTCTTCAATGATTTTCTCAAACACATTAGGATCCATGCAGTGATGGATCAAGAAAAAGTCTTTTCATCTTTCTTTCTTTGTTCCTTGTGCGCAGCCTTCTGAACGTCACTTGTATTTGCTTCCAATAGAGGTATTACATCACTCACAATTCCGGCCACATCTTGAAATATAAAGATAACCTTCATTTGTACAACCCACCTCTCATTGTTCTCACCTTAAAAAATCGATAGATTTGCAGAAAATTACATTTATGTTGTGTTACCGTTTGTTATTGCTAATTGAATCACAATCAAGATCGTTGATACCAATTTGTTTGAACGAAAGGTTGTTCAAAAATAAAGGAGAGAATAATGACAAAAACGATTATATTATAAAGAAGAAGTTGTTATACAGTGTTTATAATTCTACATCATCACATGCCTATTTATAGACAACTAACAAATCTTGACTATTACAAAATATATTCCATATACATACTACTATTACAAAATATATTCCATATACATATTTTTGAATTCGATAGAGTCGAATACAGTTTACATCAACTTGGTCGAATATGGTATCAATTTCTAAATAATGAACTACTATTTCTAACATATTGTAATTAAATTTATTTTTTAAAAATTATTAAATTATAAATCAATACATATATATTAACAATTTAAATTTTTTTAACATACATTTAATCATATTTCATTATACTGTTGGAAATAGTTTTTATTAATATGCACACACATTTCTACTACTGGAGTATAATCGCATGCTGTGTGAGTAGCTGTCTAATACAAGTTGTTCTTTCAAAGTTAAATTCTCTAATTTAATTGTTAAATTATTAATTTAGTCCACAGGGAATTGTTAAGGAAATGTACACCGAAAACCCAACCACTTAAACCACCCAATTTGACCGTAGACCAGAGACCAAAACTTGTGGTAATTAAACTTTGATTATTAGTCGGATCCAACTACCGAGCCAACATCATGTGGAATTTCTCCAAAATGAAACCTTTGAATATTACTTGAAACTTGGAAAAGTAATCCACTCTGAATCTGAAATGCTAAAAATATTCTTAGTATGAGAGTACGGAAAAAGAAAGAAGAAAGTAAAGAACGGTTTGGCCACCTAATGTCAATACAGAGTGTCACTGGCCATTCTGTTCTGTTTTCGTCACTGCCAGGAGACTAAAGCAAATATTTCTGTTCTGTTTTCGTCACTGCCAGGAGACTAAAGCAAATACTATAGTATAGGACAAAAAACAAAGTGGGGAAGTTACATAAAACATATTAACCACTCTTTCTACTTCATTGCAGAGTAGAATAGAATTCTAGAAGAAACAAATCAAAAATTAAATGAATAGCACCAAAAATCTTTAGGCTAATAATGGGAGAAAGACCACTTGAACCTACAGCTGATATGGCCTTTCGCAGCAAGTGCAACTCCAACGGATTTTCCCAGTGCACTTGACCAAAGGAGCACGCATTTAAACAGCCAAATGCAAGAAACAGAATAGTGGTCTTTCGAATGATCCGGCAACAAGCAACGTCCATTATTCTCTGCTACTTTCATTTGGTAGTTATGAGTCCCTGAATCCGATCAAGAGCACAGGTATAACTTGTAAAGAAATATCAGCAGGACTTGAATATTCTGAAATCGAGTGATACTCAAAAGACAGATCAACGAGAACTGGTTGTGCCAAAATGAGTAAACAGAAACTAAAAAGAAAACAAAAAAGGAAACATACTCTCAGATAAGGCCATCGCCACAACTTCCAAATTGCAATAACCATGCTAAGCATAACTAAATTAAGCAACGTCTCGTCATTATCTCCACAAATACAAATACTGATACAACATTTAGATAATTGCAAGCACTTGTCTTCTATTGCATGTTACAATCTGACTTGATACACCAAAAAGGGTATTCTGAATACCCATCAAGGTTGGGTAATATAGGATAGCATATATCTCTAAATTTTCTTTCACAGGGCAACCAATTACAACAAAGATACTAATAAATATCATATCATCAAATAGATTGAATGCACAGCATTCATACCGAAACAACACTTGCAGTATTGTTACATTTCACAACATATTACAGTCCAAGAAACGGGCATTGCTTCCTCGCATGCTCCGGAACCAATTTCACCAAGGTCTCAAGTGGGACTCCTTTCAGTTCTGAAACAAAGGCACCAATAACATGAATTCAGTTACAAGCCCAGAACTATAGATGACAATTAAAGAGCACCGAAGCACAAACACACTAGCCTATTCAAAAATCACCATACCGTGAGGTTTGAAGTTAAATAGTGGTGGAAGGAAACGGCCAGTTGGCAAGCGAGCGTTAGGTTCACGAAGCTCATCAAAGAAAGGATGGGTTAAGGCATCTAACTGCAGCACATAAAGCAACAATATACAAGTTATATAACATACACCCTCAGAAGATGAGAAACAGCCTTTGACTAACTAGATTAGAAACCATAAATAAAACTGCCTTTACAAACATAAACCATCGAGGGAAGCACTATTTTACAAGTTTGAGAGGTCTGCAAGAAATCATATACTCACAGCTTGGCACCGTAGATTTGGGGAGTATTGTAATAATCTTGATACCAAATCAACAGCTTCTGGAGGCATGCGCTTATGAAAGATCTAGTAAAAGAAAATCATCAAATATATATTAGTATAGTAAGATGAGCTTAAGAATAAAGCATGCAATGCTATAAGATTTATTTTATTACCTTGTGCCATGGATGTGCTTTGATTTGAGGGAATTTAAATTCTGTATAATTAGGATTCATGCATTTAATCTCTTCTCTAGTCGGAGTTCCCAGAACCTATCCGAACAAACAATAAACAGATCATTTACATGTAAGATACTGGCATTGTGCTAAAAAATGCAAGGCCACCTATCCGCCGATCAACTCACCAATTAAGCCAAATCACTTTTAAAAGGGTAAAGCAAAGACATATCAACCATTCAAATGCATTCAATAATGTTGCAAGTGAATTACTAACCAAATAAATCAAGCTCAAAAAAGTAATGCGGTGCAAATAAAAAATATTTACTGCAATAACGAGGTGTTAAAAACTATTGCAAAAAATACCTTGATGATCTCAACGAGCTGATCAACTCCACTCTCACCAGGAAACAACGGCTGGGAAAAGCAAATAAATATTTAGTTAAATGTTCTAAGTTACAAAGATATAGGACTTCGCATCAACAGAGACCAACCTGTCCAAGCAGCAGTTCAGCCAAAACACAACCAACAGACCAGACATCAATAGCTGTAGTATATTCAGTTGCTCCAAAAATAAGCTCAGGTGCCCTGTAATATCTTGAACATATATACGATATATTTGGTTCGCCTTTAACCTGGTAAAAGTCGGACCAAAACGCGGTCAAAACTAAACTACAATCTAACTCAAGACAACAGAAGGTTGAAGAAAAACTAATGAAGGATGAAGTAGACATGCAGACACACATGCAACATACCAAGACTTTTGCACTTCCAAAGTCACATAATTTAACCTGGTGGGTGTGTGGATTGACCTACATAGAAATGCATTCAGTTAGTATTTTCCCCCAGCAGTCTTAACGCAACCAAACAAAAAATTGAAGTAGGGTATATGCATTATAAAAAAAGGTCATACCAATAGATTTTGAGGTTTGATATCTCGATGGCAGACTCCGATACAACGATGAATATAAGATAATGCCCTAAAGATCTGCAACATAACAACAAATTCATTATAACCACAACAAGGTAAAAGCTGAGTAAAGAAAGGGTGACTGGCATACCTGGTATGTATAGAGCTTCACATAAATCATTGGCATCCTTTGGTTCAACTTGTTGTAATGCTTAATGACACGATGAACCGTTTCAGGAACATACTCAAGTACCAAATTAAGGTATAGTTCATCCTTTTCAGTGGTTGAAAAGAAACAATGCTTTAAAGAGACAACATTTGGGTGATCAAGAAGGCGCATTGTTTGCAATTCCCGGTTCTTGTACCTCTTGTCTTGAAGAACCTTTTTGATAGCCACAGTTTCACCTGTTTCCAAGCACTTAGCCTGCAATTATACACGATATCAGAACTGAAGCCATGATATGCTACTATGATGAAACGGAAAAAGTAACGCATGTCATGATCGAGTCAACAGGATCCGTGTTGATACCTGGAAGACAACTCCAAATGATCCATGTCCTACAACACGCTCTGCCATATAGCTTATAGTCTGAAACATTAAGAGATATACAAAACTATTCAATGTAAAAAATCAACGAAATTGAGAAAGAATGTAGACAATTAAAGATCAAATGATAAAACCACACCATATGAAATTGTCACCCAATCCAATAGTATCTCATAGGGCATCATCACTTATTAACAATTGGTAAGTTAATTGCCAATCATTAGACATAAAAAAATATATAAAAAATAAAATAAAAAAACATGTTGGACAAGAGAACCAATCATATGCTCGTCACTGTAAATAGATTCTAGTAAGCAGGAAGTTGAACAGGTATGATACCAAAACCCTGAAGATTTATTTCGTTTTTACAATACTTAACATCAAGGAGAAATGCAACTATTCCTAGTTCAAAACCACAACTACTACTTCGGGGATGCATTTGCACACAAACAATAACATAAAGCAGGTGAGACGGTGCAAGAGTTGAATGATTTCAAACCACAAAAACGATTGATAGCTTCCAAATTAAGGGGGGCATACCTGCTTTGGCTGACCATTTCTACCGCCAATAGTAGTCACAATGATATGTCCAGTCTCCGTTCCATTGCCGCTGTCAACAACAGTAGCTTCCATTTCCTACAACAGAATAAAGCTGTAAGCAACCGTGCCAGAAATTTAACATCAACCCAACACACACAAATAAAACCACGTGCAAAGATCAATCAGAAGATGCACCATACCCTATCATCCCTAATTTTCATATCATTCATTTCCTCCGGCAATACATCAACACCAATTTCACCATGACCACTTGCTTCTCTAAAACCCGAAGATGGTGCCACGCCAACCGACGTCATCTCCACTGAAACCCTTTCGGTTGTAACCACTCAAACACTAATCAACTACCTGCCAGAATGAACAATTCCATCACACTCAAAAACTTTTCTTTATTAGAAAAATCAGCAACAAAACAAGCCAACATGAATTAAAAAAAAATATATAGAAATCCAATCTTAACCAATAATAAATAAAAAACCAATTCCATGTAAAAGCATCACAAAATCCAACGGTAAACGCATCGTCGAAATGAAAAGTGAGAAAAAACAAAAAACCCTAAACTGAAGATCGTTATAATCGAACTCGAAAATACTCGATCTAAATTTACAAAACAAAAGTAACGAACAGAGAGAGTTAACACATACAAAAAAAACAAACAAACATCAGTTACATCCGAGAGAAAATTAGGGAAGAAAAAAAAAGGAAAATAAAAATAAAAATAATAAGAATTAAGAAATAGAAGGAAGAAAATATACAGTTTTTTTTTTTTTTTGGTATGAAGAGAGAAAGAAAGAAAGAAAAAGGAAGGTTGAAATTAGGAGGAAGTTAGATCGACGTTATTAAACTGGTAGCTACATACCAACGAAACCAGACCATGTGTAATGGTTTTGATGTGTGAGCGACAGTTCTTCTGCTTTTTTGTGTGGTGTGCTATAATGCGCTGGTGACAGTCAAGGAAGAAAACCCACTCCAATTATTTTTATTTTATTTATTTGTCAGGTGAATTAAAAAAAATAATTGAAAAATGTAATGTGAACGTGATTGGAGTCTGGCTTTGGTAACCAATACTTTTGACCGTTCAAACTTCAATGTTCAAAACTCACTGTGCAATCAAATTGTAGTCATCAGTTAGTAAACGAGTATTTAATTCGCTGTTAGACTAGAAGTATATGCACTTTTGTTTTTTTTCGCGCCTTTGTTTATGGATGATCTTTGTTTTTTATGATTAAAAAAGAAAATTACCATATTTATGTGAACAAAATTCCAAGTGGTGATAATGGACTTTATTATTAAATGAAATGTATGTTTCTAGATATAAGTCATGCATCAAATTTAAGTTTAGTAGAAAAAAGTATCGCCTATAAAGATTAATACATATCACTTTCAAACTTAGCATTATATGCATCAGTCCATTAATTTGTTTACGAAAGTGTTTATAATTATTAATTTTTATAATATTACTTGTAAGGGTTTATTTAGTGTAATATATATATATATATATATATATATATATATATATATATATATATATATATATATATATATATATATATATATATATATATAGGATTTAAATGAATTTAATAAATACAAATTATAGCATATTGTTTAATCTAACAATAATTAAGAATAATTAGAACAGTGTACCTTATAAGATTGAAGAGACGTTTAAAGCTTGTGAGTATGAGAGAATTACTACTCTCATTGCCGTTTAGGATTTTCAGAGTAGTTTAATTATCTAATGAGGAGACACTTAAATAGCTAAACGGCGGAGGACAAGACCTCTCATTGGACTTAACTGAATGGTCAAACCCATTACAGTCCATTCAGGCACAAAAACCCAATCAAACAATTTATCTATTTAGTGTTTAATAACAAAAGACCATAATATAATTAATTAATAATTAATTATGTCAATTCATATTTGATTAATTAAATAATTAATCTAACAATCTCCCATTTGGATGACAATAATTAATTATTAAAAATATTGATTCTAGTATTAGAATATCAATAATGGTCAAAACACCAATCAATCAAAAGTAAATTTCAAATTGGATCCGATAGGGAAGACAAATCATACATGTTAAAACTCACAAGTTTATATAAAAAATGATGACTTTAGAGTAACATATTTAACTTCAGAGTAATATGTTATAAAGAATGGCTCAAGCATATGAAAATACTATTGATAAACTCCCACTAACTTATCATAAGACTTACTCATGTGTATAAGTCTAAGGTTAGTGATTATACTAATGAGTTTTAAATTATAGGTCATAGAATATCCACATAGGTCTAAGAATAGTAATTACATATAGGAATACCCTATTAACAGAGTAATTACATTTAATTATAAGTATCTTCATAACATAATATCATACTCGATAGGAGTATTGATATTTACTTGTACTTTCATATTATGACCTGACAAATGTGGACTATTGAAGATATAATAACACAATATTATTGCACGATAAAGAATTATTGTGTCTTTTTAATATCAACTTAAACATCAAATGATGTTTCCTAAGATTAAGAGAATAATATATATCTCAGTATAACAGAATAAGACTTCTTATAATTATTTTATATTTTGAAGTCCTTTTAGAATATGTCATATTTACATTGCGCGCAAGAATATATGACACTATGAGAATAATAATCCAAAATTTTAGATTATATAATTGTGTTCACATGCAATCCACTCCCACTAATCCAATATGATAAGAATTTATCAGAGGTCACTAATATTAAATACTCTGATTAAACAACGGGTGTGCTAATGTTATTTTTAGTGCAAAATTATATAGAGAAATGGTTCTATAATATATCATCAAACTCAACCACATATTTTGCACGTCAATAGAATATATCTTTATTTAGATAATTTCACATGAAAGAATATGATGGTTCTATAAAAGATTTACCATCTTTTGAGTGAGATCAAATTCATAACTCGCTCAAAGCTCAAATGCTACAAATATAACTACACACATTTGAGAAACATATTACATTATACGCATCGGAAAAAATATGAGACTTTAATCAAATTTAATATTGAGAATATAGCATAAGACTAAAATATCCTCAATATAAGTCTCTATAAAAGAATATTATATATTAAACAAATAATATTTGTTTCTGAAATCTATATAATTGACATGTTAAATTCTCCCACTTGATAGAGAATAATAGTTGAATTATTAATATTAGAATTTTAAAATATTTAAACAAATATCCAACTATTTTCTGTATCAAACAATAATCATTCAGGTAACGTCACACCGATTGAGTATGTCCATCACTCACATAATACATAAAGAATTGAAATCCATTTTAATAAAAAAAATTATTGAATTTCATAAAGTATTACATGTCTTCAAAAAATATTTTTTTTTCTTAAATAATACTTTCAACAATATGAAATAAGAAATATAACAATCTATAAATATTATGTCATCAAAAATTCTAATACCGATAGGGTACTTGAACTATAATTTACACAATCATAAATCATAAGTGCATTAAACAAAACAAATTATACTAATAATAATATACCGATAGGGTATAATTATTATCAATATAATATTTATTATAACTAAAATTAATTTAACAAAATTTGAATAACTGCACCACGATAGGTGAGTTACAATCATGCAAATTAAGATTAATTATATTTTATTCAAAATAGGAAAATTTATATAATTGTATCCACGATAGGTGAAATTACAATTATACAAATTAATATTGATTACTTAATTTTCCATAATAAAAATCATAAAATAATAAGATTTCAATATATATATATATATATATATATATATATATATATATATATATATATATATATATATATATATATATATATATATATATATATATATATATATATATATATATATATATATATATATATATATATATATATATATATATATATATATATATATATATATATATATATATATATATATATATATATATATATATATATATATATATATATATATATATATATATATATATATAATTGCATAATTTTAATTTTAAAAGGAAGTAATATTTTAAGAAATTCCTTCATTTATGCAATTATTATATAATAGTCATAAGAGATTCAAAATTAATAAATAATCAAATACAACTAACCTCGAAGAGAATGTGACATTTATCCTTGTGAGTAGAGGTATTAAACTTTAATCACTTTTAGAATATTATAGTATCGTCTCAAAATGATTCATAAACAAAGAATAAATCGTTATATCAAAATATACAACTCTATTTATAAATAATCATAATTCAAGGATAATACAATTTAATTTTATTAAAGAATATCTCAAAATCATTATATATAAAAATTTTAAATATATTTAAAATTTGAATTAAATCAATCATTTTATAACATATTATATTTAAATATTGGAATATACTAAAACATCAAAATAAATAAAATATCTAATACTATTTATTTGGCATCAACTTAGGAGAGAGTTGTTGAAGCTTATATAGAAACAATATTATAGACCAATATCATATTCACTAACATAAAAGAACATAAAAAAAAAATTATATTAAAATCAAAAACAATTCTTTACGTCTTTATTAATTAATTAATTATTAAAATTAATATAAATATAGTATCATGTCAGTATAAATTTATCCATCAAAGTGACTAATTTCTTTCTTTTATCACACTAAGTTTTAAAATTTCCCAAAAATCATGTTATGTATTGGGACATGCTTTTGAAAATGCACGTTCAATTTGGCCATTAATTGTGATGCTAGAAAGATTCATCATAATTTTGTGTACGCCATCATTCAATTGAATGAAAAAGGTTAATAATTTGGCAATATATTGTACGTTAGCATTAGCAATATACTATGCACGTGTGGTTAGAAAACAAATTGTTCAGTTCATCACCTATATTTACTGATAATTTCAAAACATGTTTACTTTGAATTAACCCTCTTATATAATTTCAAAAAAACTTGGATCATAGAGAGTAGCATGATATACATAGACATTACAACCAAAATTTATTATATTATTAACTAATATCAAACAAAAGTATTTAAAAATATATTGAATAAAATAACTAATTTGTCATTCAAAATTCATTTCTGCAACGAAATATCTAAAATATGTTCCGTTCATAATCATTTAATCAACGTAATAAATATATCATAATTTTCCAAATTAACAAAATATTTGAAAAGATCATACAAATCCACCACTTTTGTATGTTAGAGATTAGAAATTGTTCTGGTCTGGGCCCAGTCTCGCGGTCCAGCCCAATAA